TATATACATATTGTATATATATATACAAGTGATGCATTTTCATATATATCTCACTTGGTTGCCGAAAACTTCCGAACCACTTAACATTCGAATTTGAAAAAAATTAACGGTGGTTCCGAATCATTTAAAGGGTGCACAGTTATAGTATTATGGATTCTGAAGTCAGTGTATTTAATTTTCAGTTTTTCATTAATTTCGTTTAGATCTTATCTTAGGAAAGCCCGTTTTCTAAGACGCCATTATAAACAAGTGAGGCTTCCATTCACAAGCAGTGTGCACTGGTTCCACAATGACTTGACGATCGATTCTTTTGAGTCCGTTCATAGAACAGGTACCCAGCTAGTATAACCAAAGGTCGTTCATAAGAAGATACATGTAGTTCACTCGGCCAAACAAGTGACCCCGGAAGTCCGGGCATTACTTCAGATGGCGCCGCAGTCTTTGTTTTGAAGCTCTTTCGTTTCTCCAGAAGAAGTATAGGAATAGTACAGTTTGTTAGTTTCGCTTTTATTGTTTTTCACACACGTATGGTGATTTTATTCGCAAAGTCCGCGCTTTTTCGAAGAGGGCGCCACCGGATTTTGAGGACACTTTTTTAATTGTCTCAAAGAGAGGAGTGAACTATCTTGTTATGTACGATCTTTGGTATAACATAACCTCCGTCCCGCGTGCACTGACCCACATTACTGGAGACGTTGACGAGCCGCGCGGCGGTCCGCCGGCGACGTCGCAGCAGCGGCAGGAACGCGCGGCTCACGTTGATCAGGCCCTGCAGGTTCACGTCGATGATGCGCCGCGCGTCAGCCGCCGACATGACTTCCACCGCGCCCAGGAGCAGCACGCCGGCGTTGTTGACCACTCCGTGGAGCTCTAGGGAGTGACCGACCGGTTTGTATGTTAGTGAACGGTCTGGCGATCGATTGATCTATCAGGTGATCGACCAGTCAATCAACCAATCAGTCGATTCATCCATCCATCATCGACTAACCAACCGACCAGTTAGTCAACCAATCAATCCATCAATCTATCGATCGATCAATCAATCAAAACATCCATCCATCAACCGTCCATCCGTCAGTCAGTCAGTCAATCAATCGATCAATCAAGCAACCAAGCAAGCAACCAACCAAGCAAGTAAACAAGCAAGCAAGCAAGCAACCAACCACCCTGCCAGCCAGCCAACCAACCAACCGACCGACCAATCAAGCAATCAATCAAGCAACCGAGCAAATAAGTAATCAGTTAGTCAATCAATTGATCAGTCAGTCGTTCGAGCAATCGGACATGCTAGCAATCGAACATTCAATCAACCATGCAATCATCCACCAAACAAACAGATAATCAGATAATATTATCAACAAATAATCATTTGATTAATTGAGCAATCAATGAGTCAGCCAGTCAGTCTGTCAGCATCTCCGTATGTCTATAAATTAACCGATCAATAAAATCATAGTGTCCAGTTCGTATTTCCAATACGTCGTTTTTGGATTTGAGTGATTAGGTGGTTGGAGGGTGCTCGTGTGTAGTTTGTTCTTTCCTATCAAACATCTGTCGTCTTTATCTCCCCTCCTTCTTTTTTGTGATTGTCCCTCCCTTGTAACACCTTTAATCTTCGGCACTTATATGACCTTATTGTGTTGCAAGTGCCGTAAAACTTTCACTAAAACTAAATTTCTCCTTTAACTGTCTCGGCGTTTGTGGGTAAGCGGTTAGGCGATTTAACCATCGCACGCAAAAGACGCGATTTCGATTCCCGAGTGGAGAGACCATTTTTTATCAAGTGTCTCAGCCCTTTTGCTGGGAGGTTGTATCTCTCTCAGCTAGGTTGCTTCTGACAGGCAGGGTTGAAACCTGCTTTCTAAATTGCCGAGCTTTTCACTGTGTATACTTTAAGCATTTGCTCGGAGTCGTTATCAAGATATTCAAGGAATTACATTCGAAAAAGCTTGACATGATGTGAAACGCAAAATCTTTTGACGTCAAATTTCTCAAAAGTAGGCAGGCCTACTGAGCAGATAGAACTTTTATAATTTTATAATTCTGAGGTAGCGCTGTCTTTCTTTCTTTCTTTTTTTTTT